AATTATAACTTAGGCAAGCTATATAGGCTTAAAAACCATGTTTCTCATATTTATATTTTTTATTTAAATTATCTGGTTCAAAAATAAATAAACTTTTACTGACTATTTCACCTATCAAAACTTTTGCATACCCCTGATAATAAAAAGTGATTTATAAACACAATAATAACGAATTATATAAACTAATAGACGCCAATATTAAAGTGTTAAATCAATTTACTAATAATTTAAAACAATTATTGCTAATTAATAATTTAACTACGGTGAACGAGCTTGCTCATTTATTAGTAAGTAATATTTTATAAATTTAACATACATTTCAAATAAAATAGTAATTTAAATCTAATATAAATTCCGTAATTCGGTAATTCAGACCAAAGCGGATGACACAGAAAACCAGTTAAACCTAATCATAGGGGACTTGGAATCCAGGGACNAATTTAAATCTAATATAAATTCCGTAATTCGGTAATTCAGACCAAAGCGGATGACACAGAAAACCAGTTAAACCTAATCATAGGGGACTTGGAATCCAGGGACCGGACAGACATCGAGAGATTTTGCTCTATCATAGAGGGGACAGTCGTGTCAGACCTACTGTTCCGAAAGCGATACAAGTGGTTGGAGAGCCTGTGGTTTGTTAGACTCCAAGACATGCTATCCATACCTAAGGCACAGTACAAACCCAAAGTCCGAGGGGCTCGACACCTGAAGGCGGGCTCAGACGTGTACCCCATGAGCGCCCGGTGCCGGGGATACTGTGTTATCATTGATAACCAGCTCTTCCAGCCGGGAAGTCTACGGCAAATATTTAGGAAGGGCTCCCGGGCTGACGCCTATAGACTGACCCACGTGTTCCGGGAACTCCACTTCCGGGTCAAACATTTGATGAACAAAACGGCCGAAGAAATGGTGGACTTATTGGAGGCGCTGAGGGATGATAACGAGCTGTACTCTCACAACGCACTGGTAGTCATCATCCTATCCCATGGCAACGAGATTGGAGTGGAGGGCACCGATAGGATAGCCGTTCCCACTGAGGCCATACTCGAGATGTTTAATAACGAGAATTGTCCGAAACTCGTGGATAAGCCAAAAATGTTTTTTATCAGCGCCAATAGGGGCGGTAAGTGTGGGGTTATTATCAGCGCCGATAGGGGCGGTAAGTGTGAGGTTAAAGTTAATTTACTACATGTTTAAAAATGCTCTGTATTATAGAAAAGATTGATTATGGTCTAAAATCATTGGGAGCAAAGCCAAGTGAACCAGCAGTGCCTGATGTACCCAGGTCAATACCCACATGGAGTGACATGTTTGTCTACTTTTCCACTGTTGAGGGTATGTTTAGAAATTAATATCTATCTAAAGTGAATCTAAAAATTTATCTAAATTAAACATTCTAAACGAAATAATCTTAAAAATTATTTTTGATTTAAATAGCTGCTCGCTCCCTTATATTATTAAATATTACCAAGATTAACTAAATAATTAACTGTATCTCAATACACAGGTTATGTATCGCCACGGAATCCGTTGTTGGGCTCGTGGTTTGGCTACGAGTTGGCCCACTGTTTGGCGCAATACTCGGCCACTGAACACCTCCACGACTTGATGACCATAAAAGTGGCGGAAAAGTTACACAATAGGGAAAGCTATGTGGACAGTCAGGTCGTGAAACAGGCACTCGAGACTCGTTATTACGGGCGCATTAAAAAACTTTACTTTAATCCTGGTCATTGTTTAGATAATTAATTAGGGTGCATTCCATGATAGATTGGCATTTTACATTATATGAGAAGCAGCTTAAAAGTAGCTTCTCAGTTACATAAGTTAAGTGAACATAAATATAATCTTTATTTTCATTGAGCAAGCATGTATTTTTTAATAAAATTAAAATAAAATTTTTAATGTAATAGTCAAATGAGTCATTGTATGTGGGATTCAAGATTTTATAGCAAAATTATGGATAAATATGATATAAGTACAATATCTGTACACTCGAGACTAATGTAAATAACAATAATATAGATAATGAAGAACATAAATTTATATAGAAAATTGTTAAGAGACATTACCTTATTGTATCTTATCTGACAATATCTTATTGTTTTCCATAATAAGTGGTAAATATTGCATTACTCATATTGTAAAGTGAATGCAAGTAACAAATGTGTAAATGTAACACAAATGACTAAAAATAATAATATTTTACAAGAATTTATTATTAGTTTAAAACAATTATTGATTGACAGCAAATTATTTACCGAGAGTGACCTAGCACACTTACTGGTAAATATTTTAAATCGTTATTAACTTTTAAAATAAATTACTTTATAATAAATACAGTAATCCATAAATTTGTTGATTCAGAGCAATCGTACGGAAACTGAAAGCGAAAATGAATTACTGATAATCATTGATAACGTCGAGTTCAGGGGTCGGACAGACATTCAGACATTTGGTCACACTATCCTAAATTCGGGACCCATGAATTAGGCCAACTTTGCCATAACTCCAAATGGATGACCCGTCTCAGAGATTTGATTAATATGAGCCGAGAGTCTAATAAAGTATTAGCCGTACAAAAGGCACAGAAATTAAAATCATATAAATCGGGAGACGTATACCCCATGACA